AAATTTTCAAACAGAAAATAAAATGAAAACACTGTTTGCAGCATTCCCTTGTCCCACTACCAAGGTCCTGCCCTGGATCCGTTCCTAAATGAATCCATTCCGAATAAGGGCTAGCCCTTTGGTGTAACTTATTTTCACATTGTGAACTTAATTCCGTTATAGTACTTTGTTCAAAATACAATAAGGTCTTACTTATAAGTGCCAGTCCCCGTGATTGTCTTGATATGTATATTATATACATTATTTCATCGTTCGCACATGGTGCGCATATCGTGTTGCGCTGTGCGATCCCACAACTGTACAATAGGATTTTAGATAGATACGATTGATATCAATACAATCATGTATCATATGGAGCCAAGTCCCTGTGATGGGTTGATATAAATTCAATCATGTATCATACAGAGACAAGTCCCTGTGATGGGATTGATATAAATTCAATCATGTATCATAAAGAGCCAGGTTCCTGTGATTGAATTAATATTAATAAAATAAGGTATTTTATGTAGCCTAGTCCCAGTGTTAATGAGTGTGACCTCAGCAGGGCGTGACGTTCTCACGACCACATTAAACACAGAACTGCAGTTGCCTCTCGTAATTTATTCAACAACAACAATAACTTATGTTAATGTGTTTCTTTATGGTACGAAAAGAAATTAATTTCCTACTTGAATAAAAATCATGAATAGGAAAATAAATATGTAAAGATTTACATGTCTGAGTTCATCGAGTGTACACGACAGGCAGCACAACCCCACCGGGAATTAGTGTATTCTCAATCGCACACCGTTTTAAAAAGGTTTCATATTACAGAGATGTACGTATTAAAAATGTTTAACGGTACTTTTCGAATTTCTCAGAGCATGGTAATTGTCTCGCCTGCACTGCCGCGTAGGAATCATAAAAAGCAGAGATATACAATACAAGGCTTTCTCGTACACCTGGTTCCTGATAGTGATTGCCAACAGTTACACATAATCAGATCAAAGTATTCGTTGATTTTTACTTTTTTTTTACAAGTCATATATGTTTTTATTTATTGACTTGCATATTTCGACATATACACAAAACTAGCGTGTATATCGACCATGTCTCTGACTAGCGTAGGTAGAGTAGACAATAAAGAGCTCTTACAATACAGAAAACCATGTCTAGTGATTTAGGGTAATTATAAATACGCCCCGTTTCCTTTGTCCTAACGCTGCTAACAATGATTATGCCCAACATGCCTTGGTTTTTTACAAATGTGCACGTATAATGTGTGTATCTAGGTCATATTTATATCCATATCAAAGTTAGTTTGATGTACTCTCAAAGCTGTTGATGAAATCGGTGCAATGTTCTTGCCCTTTGACGTATATTCCCTGATTGGAAGTCCGTAAACCGCAATACAATGGAAGATTTGTTAACTTAACAAATAATAAACATAAAAATCATAAATTATTCTTTATCAAAAATATCTAAAACATGATGTCATTTTAAAGTTTCAGAACTTACATTTCTTTTATTTTTGGTTTGAAAGTATGTAGGGGTGGGTTGTTTCGACAAGATTTTTAATTTGAGGGTATTCGAATGAGAAAGATCATTCGTTTACTTCCCGCTACACTAACCATGCTTCGAAGATACCCATCCTTGATCTGACACTTTCTCATTTGGTGATAGCATTGTGGTTACACATGGCGTTGCGATCGAGCGTGTTACGTGTCGTATTTAGTACAAAATTAATGATGCTGGTTATCTCAAAAGTGTTTCTAGTTCCAACTTACAGATGGAACTCAAAGTTATTGCTTTCGCATTTCCTCGGTGATAGCTTCAGACTGCTCTCTCGGAGTCTCTGTAATACTTCGTGAAGTCTATCCAGATGTGCGTTTATAATCAAGTCATCTATGGCAAATAAAGCAACACAGTCTGACAAGTTAAGACATAGAGTTATGACCGTGTGCTTTGAATGATGGTGTAAAAGTCACCATAGGTTATGTAAGAGTTGTGTCCCTTCCATTGATACATTTGTAAACAAATACCCGTGCTCTATGAAGCTTTAACGTTTAGCTGATAAGGATTATCTATTCAATGCCACCAATAGCAAAATAACTCTTTATTGTTTAACTTGTGAAAAAAGTCCTACCAATTTACGCTGTACAGTATTCACTCTAGCCTGGCCCCCGTCTCTAGAATACTGAATTATTAAGAAAAAAACACCTCTTATAATTTTGATCACTTGGAAATTCTAAACTAGGGGGAGATAAGCTAGTAGTAAAAACGTAGTCGCAGGTAGCCGGTCTATATTCACTCCTGTTGGCCCGGAATAAGGGTCTTATCAGAGAAAACAAATGTACCCAGAAAGGACCCATGTGGTCACTCCTCCCCGCGACCAATCTGGAAATCGAACCTCGGCCGTTTTTGTGAAAGGCGAGAGCGTTATATATGTAACAATATGTAGTTATTATTGCGTTCCGCTATTATCTGTTTACTCAATCTGTAATATGTAACAACTCTGTATATCTGTACTGCGTCTGCGCGCAGCCTGTGAAGCTGTCTTCCGCCTAGCTGAATACACGATGTTGAGTTGACGTCTGCTGTTTTGTTTTGATTCCTTGAAGCTACTCTACAGCTCATCGATGCTACTCTAAAGCACATATAACAATATATATCCACTACACTACTCAACCACCACCATAACAATTATGTGTTTAAAAGGAAGCATACCACGAAATATCCTCGAAATTACAGGGATTACTTTACATTCTCGAGTTAAATACATAAGAAAGTGTTGCTCCTGGAATTTTGAGAATATCCGAACAAAAAGTGCTGGTGAAAACCGGAAACACGTCATACCCTCGTTGTCATCAACGAAATGCCAGGGTTTACGCTAGCTTATGTATTTTACACGGGGATGTAAAGTAACTCATGGGACTTCGAGGTTAAAAAATTAAATTTATTCATTTTACAACAATTATGAAATGAAACAAGTTATTCCAACTTATATTAATCACTATTGTTGGTCCGGATGTTAGCGTCGGTGGTCGGGTGGCGCAGTGGATAGCGCACTTGCCGTTTACCAAGGCGGCCACGGTTCGATTCCTCGAGATCGAACGTGAAAAGGTATGAGGGTCACCTACCCGATCACGTGGGTTTTCCCCATGTACTCCGGTTTCCTCCCACATTAAGACCCCACACGCTAACATTTCGAGTATGACCAAAAGGATATGACGTAGTTCCGGTTTCACCATCATTTTTACTCCGCTTAAACATTACATATTCTAAATTTACAGTAGACATATCTAGTCTCGGAGGGAGATCTTACAAAAAAAATTCTTCTAAAGACAGATGTTGTTAAAAAACTCTATTATAGAAATGGTCACAACGACTTTTAACCTTTTTTCTGTAGGGATGTTATTCCTTCTGTCGTATTCTATTGGTAATTTAACATTACATATTCTAAATTTACAGTAGACATTCGCTCATCTTGGAGGGAGATCTTACAAATATTTGTTTTCTAAAAACAAACCTTGTTAAAAGATTCTATGTCAGAAATGGACACAACGACTTCAATTTAAGTGTTTTTAAATGTGTCATTTTATTCGAAGTCAACCCTTGCAGCCACTGCATCGATTTGGCAGAGATAAGACAATGATGACGTCAGGTGTCGCTCTGTTGCTGTCCGTGTTAACGTTTCAAAGCCTTGTGCTACCGTTTGGAACCGTAGATCTAGATCTGATGTGGTAACGGCCGAATTTTACCGACAAAGTCTGGTTATTTTACGATAAGGTTAGCGAACCAGTTTCTTTAAATAACTTGATAAAGGAAATTTATATATCTTATCTTAAATCCTATTTTTTGAGAGATTTTAAATATTTAAATAAATAAATGAATTAAAAAAAAAATCAATTATAATTGTCGATGTACATATAAGTGTAGATTTTTTTGTATGTGCCTAAATTGAAGTTTAGAACATATTTTTGAAAATAAAAAAATGTTATGGCTGGATTCAGTGATATGCTCAAATGGTCAAAGTGAGACATTTGTACAGGGGTTGTGACAAAAACAAATAGGTTGCGTTCCTTTTGTTTAGATTTATACATTCAAGTTTTCCTGCCAATATTTTGAAAATATCTTGGAGATTGAAATGTTTGTGTTTAGTTGGCGTTAATCTGAGGAGGCATTGGACCACGTTGTGTAGACATTGACGTGGTCAGTATGTTTTTAACGATCCATCAACTGATAGACGATTTGACCTACGGTATTAAACAGGACGGCATACATGTGGCGCTGTGGGTAGTGCGCCGACCTGCCGACTGAAGGTCGTAGTTTCGGAAGTCGCAGATGGCGGGATATTGTTCTATGTGCATGCCCCACCCCCTAAAAATACTTGGCCTTGATGGCCTTTGAGAGTAATATCTGAGTGGGTGTTCTTTTTTTTATTTTTTCTGTTTCTGGGTTTTTTCTCCTCGACTCAGAATTTTTAAGAGAAAAAAAGGAAATAGAATTGTTATCGATATAAGAAAATAACTTAAAACTAGTTAATTAAAAAAAATGAATACGATTCATTAACACTTTAAATTATTAAACAATGTCACTCAGAATTACATTATCACGGAGAATACCTATTACGAGAAGGTATTTTAAAGCCGTTATTTAAATAAAATGTGCACTTCTCTATTTATTTGCATGGCAGTTACGCGCCTGTAAATAAATCATATAGATATAATGACGCTTTAATTATAAATCATTCAAAATATTTACAAAATATTTTATTGATTTATCCTTTTCATCATCATCATCATCATCATCATCATCATCATCATCATCATCATCATCATCATCATCTAATTTTTGTGATTCAACTGATTAGATAATAAAAACTGACCAAACAAAAGAAAGCGGCAATAGAAGTCCAAATAAGTTACTGCCTTGACATTCATCCTCGATACTACAGGGGCATTACAGTAACTCGTGGTAAATTGAAATCCGTAATTCGATACGCCATTCCGGATCCGCTGCGTGTTTTATATCTGCTACTAGATCGATCCGCGACCTTTGAACCAAAACAAGATGGTCAGACTTTGCACATGCACCGCAGGTAGGTTGGACATTCTATGAGGTTATATTCGATCCTCAGTTGATATCGGTCTCGTGCCGTATGTTTTATATGAAATTATTGACTTGACAACGTTAACTATATATAAACGAGCAGTCGGTTTGTTTACATACGTCCATGTGAACTGTTTATACATGTATCATATAGCGGACTGGTCAGTTATACTGATCATGAGTTGGTATGGTCATTATATCAGATCAGTGGCCAGCTATTATCTATATGTCTATGTGGTCTGACAGGTCACAGTATACAGTATGGTAGACCCAGTCGTATACAGTGCAACACCAGTGTTTACTAAGGGGTCTACGTGTACACGTATATATATTATACACAAATCGCACATATCCACACACATACAGACCGTTCCTTTTACAACTGTCAAGTGCACTGGGGCCCTCAACGGGATCTCAGTTTATTTTTAATTCGCTTTGTAAATATATAAACTATATGTATGTTTTTTTTTAAATTTTACTCCGTACATTTTACGTACATGTGTGTGAACGTTCATCCATATCAGATACTGTGTACATGTATATATATGTGTGTGTGTGTGTGTGTGTGTGTGTGTACGTACATTTTGTGTACATCTAACGTCGACGCTCCAGGAACCAGCGAACTTTTCAATCTCTAAAACAGTAATTCAATAAATTGCATTAGAAATATTTACATGGATTTAAACGGAGAAAAGGGTAGCAGAAAATGTGATCCAATTTTAACGTACTTCAAAACTTTTCTGAGAACATAGGTACATGTAAACATATTTATGAAATATTAGTAAATTCCTAACAAATATACAGTGTATAATGCACCTTTGCGATATCTTGATACCTTTACTTAAAATACTAGATCTACATGTAAAAGCAGGAGACACTAAAATTAAGAGAAATGTTAGAACTACCGACGAAGATTTTTCCTCGTGCACCTGCAGTGCTAGCAGTGATGTTTTACATAGTTTTGTGCCTAATGCAGGTTCTTTCTCTAGCAAAAAAAATGTGGTTTATTTCCCAAAATAAAAAATAAATAAATAAAGAGAAATATCGTCCCCTTCTCAATAAGAGTCTAGACACTGAAAGTTACTTTTTTCCAAAACATGAGTTTTTATAAAAATTTCACCGGAGTAACAGGTCCTGATTGAACATTATTACAAAGTAGGTCAATAATTAGGTCATAAATGATATGTGGAGTAACAGTGCTGAAAACCCTAGTTTTAGAAATATCACTGAAATGATTCTAGGGGAGAAAGAATCATCTCCTACGGTGAGGGTAAATGCCAGCAGATCTCAACACGCAGAATGAGATTTTGAATGTCTTATACCCTCCGCTTGAAGCTAATCTCGCGATCGGGTAAGACAATCAAGAATGTCTTAGCACCCCTCGGGTCATACCCTTACGGTATGGAAGATTCTATTAGCCATTCACGGCTTAAGGAGAGAAATTTAAGATGGTACACAATGGCTTTATTGCATTCATAAAAAAATCAGTATTGATAAATGTAATAATGTTGATAGAAAATTGTACTAATGTGCACTGTATATAGAATTGAGACGACGAAACTGTAAATTAATAAAATCATATATATATTTTTTAATTTTTTTTTATTTCATAACAAATTATACACTTAAATGATAAAGCCCATATATTATATTTTTGTTGTTGTGTATGTAATCTTTCTGCAAAACGGACATAACATAGTCCTCAAAAGACTGGAAAGGACGAAGGAGCCGGATACTTTCTCTAAAAGAGTAGTATGCTATAGAATCAATCTGATTAAAATCATATGTTACATCAGAGACGTCTCTGGTTACATGGCTTCGTTAACTTCGTATTACGTTCATGCGGAGCCATGTAACAGATGATTTTAATCAGATTGGCTATAGAATTAAAATTATGTTGTAAAATAATTGTTTTCTTTGTGTGTTTATAGATACCATAACAATGAAATGAAGACTCCCTGCGTAACAATAACCAACGTGAAGCAAGATGGCCTTGACCTCCAGCTCCGTAGGATAATACGTCCTTCCCCATTACCTCAATCCCACGCGTCCGGCAATGTTTCCGGCACCCTGGTCCTGTTTTTTGGTTGGCTGGGAGCGAAGTCACGTTATCTGGAATCTTACTTCGACTTATACCACCAGGAGAACTTTGACATCCTTTACATACCCGACAATGTGAAGCTGTTCGTTTGGCCGCCACTAGTGGATGAATTCGCTAAATCATTGATGACCGTGATTACGAACAACGACGATATCAGACGGTATGACAACTTCCTGGTCCACGGTGTCTCCATTGGCGCCTACGTTTTCACATGCTGTTTGATGAAAGCTGACAAGCACCAGGCACAGTTCTCTCCCTTTGTGGACAAAATTCAGGGTGTCGTTCTTGATAGTCCAACCTATGGATCGTTTGAAAGAATGAGAAAAGGAGTTGCTGAAGGACTTGCCAAAAATCGCATTGTCAAAGCTGTGATTCCTAGACTGCTGTCGGTGTATTTTTACTTAACATGGAAGTATACAGTGGAATTCTTTGAGAAAGCCATGCATTTCTTAGAAGAACGTCCACTGAATGTGCCTTATGCTATGTTCTTTTCCCGCGAAGATCCTATGTGTGATGCAGACGTCATCATGGAAATGATTGAAAATTGGCGGGAAAAATCATCCGTTTCTGTCATAACAAGATTTTGGAAGAAATCTGTCCACGCCGCACACCTACGATATCACCCCGATGACTACAGAGAAACATTCCATCATTTTATTTCTGTTTATCTTAACAGATTACAGGAGCAGATCAAAAACAGCGCAACAACAAAGTCAAAACTCTGATTGGTAGTCTCCCCTTAATCACAGCGAACACGACGATCGAGTACATGTATCACTGATAAACTGGGCGAGAAATATTATAACCCTACCAAAAACACCATTAAAATGTAATTCTAGGACATTTTACAAATTATTTATTAACATGTTATATTGTTAATTTATTTTTATGATATTAAAATGTTTATCTTAATGTTATTGTTGTGTAGTAAGTGTCTCATCGACAAGGCGATGCACACTAAGCCTTCAATTTTGCTATGACATATTCCAGGGGTGCAGAGAGCGAAAGTGAGCGTAACCCCTGGATATCGAGGATGCTGAGAACCCAAGCAAGCCATTTTAGGGCGAACATTTGGCATTTGGCTCACAGGAAATAAAACTGTTGGTGCAAAAAAAACATAAGTGAGACTGGCAGACCGCTTCCCTTCCATCCCCCGGGCCGGGAGGGGGTAACAATGGATTTTTGTCATTTGAGAGTAAAAATTACACATTTTACACAAAATTCAAAATTTAACACATTGCTGAATATTTCCAATTTGGCAAAAACGACACAGACATAAGGTGAAAACCAGTAGTTGTCATGATTTGTGAAAATCTCTTTCTAGAAACAAAATTCGAACAATTCGCTATACCAATGCCTCTTTCTGCACTAACATGTTCATTTGGTATCTTCACTTCCGGTGATCTTGGTGATGTTCGTGGCTCGCGGGCGACTCTGAACAGGTGTTGAAGATCAGGTGTGTCCAGTATAACCAGACGTTAGAGCAGGAAAACAATTCATGACTTGTATCGTCTGCTACATCTAATGAGAGATGAGTCCGACTACACACACGTTTAGTCGTCCTAACGGATCGTATTGTCACATCGTGTCCTATTAGAACCAACACCACATACGTTTTATTACCCACGGTTGTCTCCAAACAAACGAGGCAACGCTCACGTGGCGAATCTGACGTCATTGGAATGTCTATTGGCGAAATATACGTGTTAATTTGATATGAGTGTCCCAATTTTCTATTCCACTGGTCAGCTAGCGTGGGATTGGTCCGAGGTATCTGGGTCTTTGTCCGCTAGACTTGCAACAGATGAATGAAACACAGGGACCTGAGAATTTGTTGCAGCTATATTTGGACCTAAACTAAGGTGTTCAGAGTAATTTCACATTTTTTAGGGGTTAAGATCGACTTTCGGTAAAAATGACTCCCCCAATGATTATACATGTATATATAATCAATTCTCAGGTCCCTGTGGAATATTATAAGACTCTTTCATTCACAGGGGTATAGGATAGGGAAATTCCACCCGAGGGTTTTTCAAATTTGGTAAAACCCGTGGCTTTGCTGAGTATTGATATACTGAAAACCTGTTCTTATTGTTGGTTGTTTTCTTATTGTCTTATAGTTCTTATAATCTTATTGTTGGTAAGCATGTAGGTACATTCACCATTTCTTTTTGTGCTATACCAAAGAATCACATTAGGGGATCTAGTAGAGGAGCTATTACACATGACTTACCCGTCATCCTCAATCTTCCAGGGGTGTTCTCGGTGTGCCAACATATTTACCAACAAAGGGCAGGTGTTGTTTTATGAAACAATGCCAAGTCAATTATATATTGTTGTATTGCACCTGTAAATATTTACCTGTGTTTCATACAACACATTCTCTCGGATTACTTTTGCTATATAATGTTCAAATCAACCATTAATTGTTCATTTTACCATATTCCAGTGCCCGTATTCACGAAACCTTCTTCGTGCCCAGGCATAGATTCTGTGCTCACCCCAACTTTCTTGTAACACGCTTTAATCACTTCAAGCCATAATAAAACAAATGTAAACATTGAAAACAGCATTTGACTTAAAGTCTGTTATTTTTTTTTTTCAAAATCATTGCCACAATAAGATTTGTTTATTAATTAATAACCAGAACAAGACATTAAGCTTGAGCAAAACATCCATGCTCGAGCATGAGAACGGTTTCATGGATACGGTCCCAGGTGTTTGCTCTGTGCAGAGATCGTCAGTAAGCGTATACATTGCACCTCCCCCTGCAGTATCGAGGATGCTCACTGGTCAATCTGCTGCCTTTCTACCATCAAAGTATCAGTTAACAATGAATGCAGATACCAAAACATCTGCGACAGAAGAAATTCATACGCCAATTATATATACAGTGTAAGTCTCTGCTCGCAAACAAATACCCGTGGGAGTTGGCAGTTGAGAACAGGGATGTAAAAACATTAATTATCTCCCTTCGTGGTATACAATGACATCTTAAATTATCTGGGATGTTGCTCTTAAATGTCAAACCCTCGGCAAGTTTCGGGGTTGGGAATCCAAAACTACATGTAGTACCCTTTGGGTACATCTCAAGGCGGTGCAACTATCTACATAATCTGTTTACTTTGGTTGTTCAACGTACAACCATCGCACTGTATATGTCCTGACGAGTCTTTGTCTCGTCGCCAATAAGTAGCGGAGACTAAGGTGTAGCTTTTCTGGCGACGGCGGCGGCGTCAATATATATTATGTTTTTGCTTTTACGTTAGTTTCACTAAAAACATAAGTGCTAGACCAACCGCACTTGGACCATAGATGCATCTTAGGTAATACAACCCAACTCATGCATCAAACGCTGGATGCGGCCTACCTTTCATGTTTCATTAACTTTTTGTGCATCTCCATCAGCATTACGTTTTTGCGTTTAAGTTAGTTTCACTGAAACTTTAAGTGCATTGATAGTCAAAGCGGGGCACAGGCTAAACATGTCAATTCGAATAGCTTGTTCTTATCACAACAACTTCAATCAAGTCAAATACGAACATTTGAATTGCTGTCGGTCAGGTTTATGATTTGATTTAATCATACATTTTGCCAGGAATTTGGCAAAAGGATTTGTCATATTTATACCAATTCAATATGATAACATTTCATCGAAACCTTAGATGACAAAAAAATGGTTGACGCAGGTGGCTTAGAAATATTGAAGGGGAAGTGACTGAAAGAAATATGAGTGCGCACCTATACGTTTACTAGGTCCTGTTTATGTCCTTGTAGTCTATTGATCTATATCTCCGTTTTCCCAATTATATCAGCGATAAAGACGATATATTACGAAATGGTGCAGTTTTTGTTTTAGATTATCCTCGATTGCATTATTGTGGCGGTGATGCTTTGGGGCATCATGACGTAAGTAAAGGAGTGTTTTGGTGCAAGTGGAGTTACATTGATTAGCAATATTAACTGTGTGGTAATTGGACATCAGGGCCCAGTTGTTAAAAAAGGCGATTAGCTTAATCAGTGATTAGTGCAAATTTCAATGTATGTGTATCTTTGAAACACAACTATTGACTGAGTTAAAACTTTCCAGCTATCAAGTATTTAGTAGAGTTAATTTACGTGTACAATTTCGAGTTTTCCCTTGTATATTGACGAAAGTATTAAAGGTTGAAAAATGTCGTTAAACAGTGATGAAGCTAATCGTCTTTTGAACAACTGCGCCCAGGATTAATTAGAAACTAACAAATACAAGTCATAAGGCAGAGAGGACCGGCGCTCTGTGTTGAATCTCAAACGAAGAAGAGTTCCAATTGGTTAATTTATATTCCAAAACACATGGAGCTGGAATAGTTTGTCCGTTTATTTACTATAGCAAAGGAAAATATACAGAAGAAATATGCTCATACTTGGTTTATATTTTTCCTCTACAAAAACATCTCCGATACGGGGTTTCTAGTAATTTTGTGATTAACTGCGCTACCGGCCATGGCGTTCAATTTGATAAATACTGTTCAGCAACATCACTAGGAACACTTTCAGAAAATAAATAATGAATTTAACGCCAATACCTGCATGTTAAAAACAAATGCTGGGACTATCTGTCATATTTATAAGATAGCAAGCCTGATACATTTACTAGCATATAAGTCGTGATTGAGTAACAAGGATTGTGATTGGCTAATAAGCGCACACATGATCTGCCTTTAGGAAACTCCCAAAATTGGTGTTTTCAATTAAGTTTGATTGAATTTGGCAATGTTTAGTCTGATCTTGTGGGAATGTTCTCATGGTAATCAGACAGATGACCCATGTTTGATCGGAGAATCTAACCCCGGTCGTTTTGGTGAAACGCAAGTGCTCTATCCACCGCGCGACCTGTAAAGCTCTCATAAACATATATGGTGTTAAACTGCCCAAACTATGAACCATATATAGCATTCAAATACAGAAAATTACGTTTTTCGAGTATTGAAATATTTGCGAGTCTACTCAGTCAAAGGGCTTATTCGCGAAAATTTTAATTCGCGAAGTGATCAATTCAACAGGCATCGATACCTGCAAATATAATAATACTTATCCTACTCCCTACACATTAAAATGAAAACTGACATCTCTCCAATTTGTATATTCCTAACAACTCAGACTAAAGGCGATAGAATTGGAATTCGAGAACATGTTGTGGCGCCTTTTCCCAGGAAAGACATTTCACATATAAAAAATCAGACAGATTCTGGTCAGACCGGAAAACTGTTTAGTTCTTTTTCTCCTTTCCACTTTTTTGTGCGTTATAACTTAACTAGCCCCCTCGTTGGTCTCGGAGAGACCGTGTTTCGGTTCTGAAACTTTATACGGCTGCAAATAAAAGGCACTTTTTCTGTCTCCAGTCGAGAAAATGTTTCTAGGGATTGTGTCATAGGGAAGATTACCAATTAGTTGTTCTGCCTTGGCTATTTAATGAGCCCCATTAAGTAAAGATACCTTTTGTTCATACACTGTACAACTATCGACGGTTTATTTATGTGTACCAGGAAAAAGAATGGTGTCTTCACGGGAAAGCGTTTGGATGTAGTTGAATATATAATTTAAAAAACAAAAAGTTACAAAAGAACAGAATAAAACAGTTCTGTACGTTATCTGTGGAATTATATTGACTGTCAATGGTCAGGGGAGTTTCTAGGATATTTGAAAGAGGGGGCGTAGAAACATTTTTGGACCTTTTTTTTGGCTAAAAAACATAAAATAATTGTGAAATGCACTAATGTAACGGTTCCTGACTTGGAGCATGTATATTTTATAGTTAAAGTGTCAGGGTGTTTATGTGTTTAATTAATGAATATGATAAAATGCCATATTCACTACAATATTAGCAGATAACAATAGTTTTTTGTT